ACAGGCCTGTGCATAACGTTCTCCCGCGCGTCTATAGGCACATCACTATGGGAAATGTTTAACCTGGACTTATCTATAAAAAACAACATTTCTCCACCAGAACAAGGGTCTGCGGACATGATGTCGGCACAACATTCGGCGAGCTTGTCGATGACGTTGTGTCAGGATAGGCCGTAAGGCGGGACGTCGTGGTCTGATCCCGTGATGACGTAAACGTTGTCGAACTGTGTTGGGGTGGATACGGTGAAGTCCTGGGATGGTTCGGGCAGTCATCACTGCAGTCTGAAACCAGTGGCGAAGATGGGTCACCCTTATCCATCTGTCCTGTCTTGGCGTTGTTACACGTCCAGAACGTGGCCGATCGATGACGTCATTTGTGTTCTGGTAGCGTCTCATCAGTACAGAAATGGTGTTCCGGTGGCAGTGGAAATGTGCAGCCACTTGTCGTTGAGACATTCCCCCACGGACCATCCCAATGGCCTCATGACGTTGTGCAGACGTGAGCCTGGGCATGCTATGCGTTTCAATAGCCGTTTAATTTTTTGAATGATCGCAAGGGCAGGGGTTGAGCTTCCAAAGTGACAGTATTGTGTGGCATTCATTTGCTCTGTTTCTCTTTCCCGGAATGCACGTGCAACAACGTATTGTACGTCTCAAAGACGAATCCACTGACGTCACGGAACGTGGCACGTGCATGCATGTTGGATACATGTCACTAATCTCTAAGTTTAAATCCTTATGTGTCTACAAAGGATTAATAAATTTAGATTTTAAGTTTTTGTATGCACAGTTTCTTTATGTGCCTAGTATATATTGTCATGTGTCACACTTTGTCATAATAGTTGATGTGATTCGCCTAGTGTGGTAGTCGCAGTGGTCGTCCTTGTCACTTCTCGCTTTTGGGTAACACCGCTGGCTGGCAGCTTGCCTGTGAAAAGGAAGCCGAGTGTGTAAGATTTCCCTGCCAGTACATAGCCTCTCCATCAGCAAGCCCCACGTAGGGCCTCCCTGCGGCGACACAAGGGAACTGGGTGCCTTGCAGCCTCAGGCTAAACCTACAAGTGACTACGGAGGAGGTTTGGCCCCCAGACATGTGGCATGCAGGTCAACCGGCGTGTGGATACGCCCTGATGCTCATGAACCAAACCCCAGCTATGGGTCCAATAGCTCGACTGCCTTGTGGACCCCTCTGGCCGTGCAAAGGCTAAAGGAGTAAACCCCGAAAGAAAATCCGCGATGGAGGCCCTAAGGCAGTCGGTCAAGCACTGCAACACCTTCCGGCAACTACTGCAGCTGCGCTGGCACCGACCGTATTGGCTCGCCTTTCCGTCGGACCCTGCTAGTAACGCCGAGAGGGGGATTCTGGCGACTGGGCATCCCATCTTCTCCATACTGCACGCCCAGGCCTGTACCTGGCGAGGCCACTCCAGCTTCGCTGCACCAGCGTAGACACAACACGGGGAGCAGCAGTCTACCAGTTATAAGCCCAGGCTCGTTTGGCGTAGAGCCGGGCGCTAGGGGCTGCTCCCGACGGTGGGAGGAATCCTCGGACTCTGGGCAGCCCCCGGGCAGTTAGGTCCTACCCGCTTGCTCCATTGGGTGTGTGGAGCGCAGACCAAAATCGACAGATAGGTTGTAAAACCAAGTACCAGGCAACAATCAAAATATCAAGAAACCACCAGCCTTGCGGCTGGCAACCTGGAACGTCATGATGCAGAACACTGTGTCTCGGCCACTCTGACGACCTCCACAAAGTGGACGATACCAGGAAAACTGCCATCATCGACCGCGAGCTATCCAAGCTCACCATTGACATCGCCACCCTCCAGGAGACATGCCTCTCTTCCAGTGGCAGTCTCAAGGAGAAGGACTACACGATCTTCTGGCAAGGACTGGAGCCAGACGAGCGCCGACTTCACGGTGTCGTCAGCTTCGCAGTCCGCAACCTGCTCCTGTCATCAGTAGAGCCTCCTTCTCAAGGGACCACACGCATCCTCTCACTCCGCCTCAGGGTCAGGGAGATTCCACCGAAAGAAGACCTGCTCTTGCTCGGCAACATCTTCTCCCTACTCTTGCATTATGCATTACGCCTCCTCTTGCATTACGCCTTCCACGAGTACGAAAACGGCATCTTCCTCCACACGAGGAGTGACGGAAACCTCTTCAACCTCTCTCGCCTCAGAGCAAAGACAAAGATACGCAGGGTCCTCATACGATAGATGCTCTTTGCAGATGACACAGGCCTCAGTGCACACTCTGAGGAGGCCCACCAGCGAGTCATCACCTGCTTCGCAGAGGCATGCACAGAGTTCAGCGTCACCATCAGCTTCAAGAAGACCAACATTATGGGCCAAGATGTCAGCACCACCCCTGCAATCACCATCGGCGACCACACCCTGGAGGAGGTGGATAATTTCAACTAGCCTAGTGAAGAGAGTGTGGGACAACACCATGCTGACACTCAACACAAAGATGAAAGTATACCAAGCTTGTGTGTTGAGTGCCCTTCTCAACGGCAGCGAAGCCTAGACTCTTTACTCCCTCCAAGAGCAAAGGCTGAACGTCTTCCACGTGCGCTACCTGAGGCGACTCCTGGGCATCAGCTGGCAGGACCGTGCCACAAACGCAAGCATCTTGTCCCAGGCAGGCGTACCAAGCATGTTCGCCATTCTCACCCAGAGACGCCTGCGCTGGCTTGGCCACGTGTGCACGATGGAAGACGGTCGCATTCCAAGGGACATTCTTTTCGGCGAGCTCGCCACTGGAACCCGCCCGTATGGACGCCCCTCACTGCGCTACTCTGCCCCTCAATGCAACCGTGACGTGACGACTGCAAGCGGCCAGTCCTCCCCCGCCGATCCCACCACAGACTACACCTGCAGGAAGTGTCAGCGGAGTTGCCGATCCCGCATCGGACTCTTCAGCCACAGTTTGACCTGGGTGCAGATTCACCATTGTCTCACGAGACAGAAGGATGCCAACGATATCTTGTCATAGAGACAATTTCTTTCAAAACTGATATAACGTTATTGCTTTGAACTTGAGTAAAACTTGTTTTAAAGTAGAAACATTTTGATAATGTATTTATAAGTGGAATGCATACGAAAAGCAAGATTTACGGATGTCAACTTCTTTATTGTGAATAACGTATGCTTGCTCCTTCATCAGGTAAATGGTAGGGGGTATCAAGGGGGTATATGTACATACATGAGGCACTACAAAGAAAACACGTTTAACAATAGACTTGATGAGATATAATACAAACATGAAGAGGCCAGTGATACACTAAACCAACATGGTAATGATGGGGTAAAGGCAACAGTGATACCGCATAAACAGAGGAAGGGAGGCCAGTTATGCAATGTAAACAAGAGGCCAGTGGGCTGTTGAGGTGGCGATACTCACGGGTGAAGAACATAGGATGACAAGCGTGTGTTTATATAAGCGAGTCCCAAGCAAATGTTGTCTGTTATCTATGGCTTCCCCGATGTACTGTTGTCCACAGCTACACGGAATCTGGTAGATGCATCCTCTTTGGTTGGGGCTTGCAGTGCTGGATCTGAGAAGGTTCTTGAGGGTCTTGCCACTTGAAAATGTGACGTCAATGCTGGCTTGGTTCTAGATGAGGCCGGAGATCATGTGGCTGATAGGTCCAATGTAGGGAATTGTCACTCTGATGGGGTATGGTGCAAGCTTAGGGGCTGGTCTCGGTGGTGTTGAGGGGCTTGTTCATGCTCTTGTTGAGAGACGTGAATGTGTCCTTTAGATGTTGTAATTCGTGGCTGAGGGCTTCTGGATGGCAGATGGACTTGGCACGTCTAGTGAGGGTGGCTACGATGGCTTGCTTGATCTGGGGTGATGATAGGAGTTGTAATGGATGTACTGGTCGGTGTGCGTGGGCTTGCGGTAGACGGAGGTCTTGAATCCATGGTCTGTGGATTTCAGGAAGACATCAAGGAAGGGGAGTTGGTGGTCAGTCTCTGTTTCCAGGGTGAACTTTCCCAGCGACTAACAGGATGGGATGGGATGGTCAGGCCCCCTTACTCGGTTGACACGTGTCATTGCATCCCAGATGCTCATGTTGTTAATCACTGATCACTGGATTGTCTGTTCCAGACTCGATTATTTCCAGACCGCCCTCATATAGCTGTAATATTGCTGCGTGCGGTGTAAAACTAAATTCACTCACTGAGTCGGCTTGCGACTAGGGCCAGACAAGGTAACATCAAGCACGTACTTTGATATGACCACCGTCCCGATGCCTTTCGGTCTATCAGTTAAAGGCAAAATGGTATCGTCGGTAGCACTCGCAAACCCAGCACGAAACATATAATAAACATCTGATGCTTAAGGCAAACTTCAGATTCACCTTTACACGAGAAGTATTGCTATGTTTCAGACCTCGTGTCTGTGGTCTTTACAGCTGTTTGTAGATATATAAATACAAACATACAAATATACTTACCCTGGAATTAAGGAAAGACGTTATCACGGACGAACCATCAATGCCCAATTCCGTCAGTCTCTTCGAAAGTCCGAGACCTTTCCCTACCGCCAACAATACAGACGGGTCTGTACCTCGAAATCCGTCCGCCATTTTGTTCAAGTAGCTTGATTTTTCAAATTTTCTCATTTCGGCGGACAATTTTCGCAGTTGTTCGGCTGCGCGACGCTGGTTCTTCTGTGCTCTTTTCGCGCACCTTCCAAGAGCCGAATCTGTAACACGAACATATTTACAAGAACGTTGAAAAGGCCTCACATTATGTGCAGCTTGTTCTCCGGCTACTGTTTGGTGTATGTTCAGTTAAAGGCCGCACTCAGAATTACAGCCGGAGCTAACTAAATTCCTTTGTCTCGGGTTCTTAAAGTAATACCCCATACATGTGTAAGTGAATAGTTTACGCCGCTTTTAGCAATATTCCAGTAATATCGCGGCGGGGAACACCAGCATTGGGTTTTACACATTGTATCCATGTGGGGAATCGAGCCCGGGTCTTCGGCGTGACGAGCGAAAGCATTAAACACTGCAGGCTACCCCACAGCCCCAATATTGCACATGTAAGGCCATTTGAATTAGTACAAGTTTTCTCTTAAACCGAATCAGCTAATCATTGGAATGAGAATTACAGACGAACCTGCACAACACTACGCCACAGAACACGCTTTCATGTTAATTTCGTACTTTAATTCTTCACGTTTTGTTTAGTTCTAACCAAGGTTAACTATCTGCGACAGTAAAACACCAAAGGGTCGCCAATATGACTTCCTTGGTATGGGTGAGATGAGGATCTCTTCCCCCGCCTATAATGCTTTAATATTGCATGGTTTTAGATGGTAACATTGCATCGATTCGTAATTGACCATTTTCCGGTGGTAACGTGACTAATGACGCAATCACGTGACCAGGTCAAGCTTACGTACAAAATGGCGTCTGTCAAGCATCGTTGTAGATACTGATCACGTTTGTTGTAACATTTATTCGCAGTTTATCGAATTTAGTGAATGAAATACTTGTTCTAAATAGTTCTTGTATATAATTTGTCCCTTTAGTGTATATAATATTTCTCTGAGGCTGCATATTTCGGCTGAGATAGAATGCAGATCTGGTAGTGGGCACGTCTCCGATGACAGGTCCATGTCATAATACGCAGTTTATATAAGTTATGATTAATTACCATGGAGAAATTGAAAGTCCCAGAACTTAAAGATTATTTGAAAAAGTACGGAATAACAACTACAGGTAACAGAAAAGACGTTCTCATAGCTTTAGCCAATGCAGTTGTCAAACTTGAATTGGAGCCTGATCCCGATTTTCAACATGACTGTCGACCAGAAACGTTTATGAAGCAGTGTCTCACGGACTTACACTGTGATTTTGATGATCCATTTGCTCTTACTTATACATCTGACTTCAGCCTCATCCCAGACTTTGGCTTGTATGATATCTTCAACTACCTGTTATTTCATAGATCTGATTATGATAGGAGGAAATTGAAGGCTTTCAAGTCTTTTGAGGACTATCGTTTGTTTTATGATGGTCATGTGTTAGACCTCCAATATTGTGACATTAGTGCTGCCAGTAACCTTTGTGCATTCAAGTCAAAGGTGAAACCAACACAGAAGGATTCTTCCTATCTTGGAAAGCCAACATATGATATGTGGTTCCTCATGGAAAAATCAACAGCAGGGATCAAACTGGCATTTTGTGAATGTCCTGGCGGGTAAGTTTTAATGCATGTTCAGTACAACTATCCACCACTGAATATATTTTCAATACATGTATTTGAAATATTTATTTAATGCAACCTTTATTCAAAAGAAAATTGTAATTGATTTTACATCACGTTTATAAAATGTTAATATATTGGCATTTAAACACTTCAGTGTTAATATAATATATCATTCAATTTCTTTATCATTTTGTGTTCATATTTCAGTGCTGATGGGGCTTGTCGACACATAGCAGCAAGCCTGTATGCGCTTGAGGATTTTGAAAAGCCATCCGTGACATCTGGTCCCTGTCTGTGGAAGAGGAGAGCCTTGAGCCAGACTGAAGCTGTGCCTATAAAGAAGCTTAGGATTGAAACTGTTGGGTGTGTGGTAATTAATAATAACTAATCTGTTAACTCCACATATTCTCAATGGGTACTTAATGTTTATTCTAAACTTACATTATATAATGATAAAAAAATGTGCATTTGTAATGCACCCTTTCCATGTACAAGAATCATGCTCAAAGCGCTGACATGGTACAATTATATACTGAAATGTATAAGTGAAGGAAATATAGTTAGTTTTAATGAGAAGAAAACAGGTGGATCATCTGCCAACGTTTGAATGGGGTAAAGTCAACTGCTGATTTTATGGCCAAAGGGTGGGAGTTCCACAGTAGAGGGAAGAACAAGCAAAGGATTTCCTTCCAAATGTTTCAATTCTATAACGAGGTGCAAGTTCTGATTTGAGAGCTAGCTGTCTTTAATTAATTTCAGTCAAATAAAATCAAAAGAATTTTTTTTCAGTTATGGTAAGGAGAAACAAGAAGTGGGAGAGGTGGAGTTCGACCCCAGACACCCTGAAGACAGACAGAGTTTGTCACAGGAGGCAGCAAAACAGTTTATTGATGAATTGACAGAGGTGAATATTATTAAATGAGATCTAGTAAACTGAAAGCAATGATGGTTGAATTAAATCTAAGAAGTGCCTACTTTTTCACTTGTAACCTGTTTTCTTGCATCTGCAAAATAAAATATTTTTGTAAAAAACAAAACTGTGCGGATGATAAATGGTCCAAAAATATACACTAAACGACATCTTATAATTTTATAATTGCAAACTTTTTCAGACAATAAGGATTGCTAAAACCCAACCGGATTTCATTAACTAAACATTCTATTTAAAAGATTGTCTGTAATATAATCAATGGATATACCTTCATTATCAACATTTGTATCTTGCTCTTCAGAACCCTCAGTTATTTCATTTTCCTTATCAATGTTCACATTGAGTACCTGCAAAAAAACACATTAATTAATATTTTATGAACATCATAAATTATTATAAAGAGAGTTTTTTAAAAATTATTCAAAATTTAGTCATTTATTTGTTCATTTATCTATTTGCTTATGTATTTTTTTTTCATTTTATTTCATTTCATTCCAAAACTATACCTGGAGTTGTGAACGACTTTTTTTCTTCTCTGGCGACAAGCTCACACGGCCTTTAGGTGGTGGTCTTGACTTCTTAGTGTTGAAGATTCTAAGTTCCACACCTCTAGCGGTAGCTGGTATAGGGTCAGGATGTTCGCCTGTAGGACCATGTCCATCAACAAAGTGTTTGGAACATACATATGTATCTTGGGTGATCTTGTGACGGCCAAAATCATCACCGCGGGAACACGCTCTGATCCAGCGGTCACACATCTCGGGCTTTAATGTGGGCTTTGGAAATGTAATAAAAAACACAACTGCCATATGTGGTTTATGGTAGAAACGTGAGTCACTATTACAAGTGCCATAAGCGCATCGTTTTACCCCCATATTGATGATATTGCACTTTGAACTTGGCGAGGCTCACTCAAGGGCACGGTTGACAGCCGCCATTTTGTCCCAAAGCTTGACCTGTACCACGTGATCGGCAACTAGATCACATGACTTGCGGAAATTCCACTATTGTATTCTCCTACAGTCTAAATGCCCAACCCTAGCTTAGCGGACATGACGAAAGTGCTATTCCGGCCGCCAAAGCGTATATACTGGGCACACTACGAGCTACCGACTCATCCTGACTGCACGATCTGTTGGTCGCTCTTTGGACCAGCCCAGGGTGCGGGGATCAATTCTTACCCTGAATCCCCTCGAGGAAAGCAATGTGTAATTTCGATTAAAAATAATAGAAACGTAAATGACAAACAGTATTTGATTTTTTTTTATTGTGGCCATATTGCGACAATCGACTTCAATGGTGACTGTTGATAGCTTCACATGACACCGCTTCACAAGTCTGTCAATAACAGCTGTAATGCATGTATATCAAGTTCCCACATTACTTTGTGTTTACTAGGTTTCTTGATATTAAGCCATTCTCAAATAATTATATACTCACATCTCTGTCCCATCCGAACACTCGTGGTTAACACTGAATGTTGTGATAAGTTGCCTATGAGTTGTCAGGCAGAACTGTAAAAGAATATTGCGTGACACATACAATTTGTATGGTTACTGAGTGGGGATATCGCTTTGTCGACTTCAATGACGGCTGCGAGAAAGCTGTCAAACCAGTCGACGGAGCTAGCTTACTCGCGGTCCGTGAAGATCTGGGGTAGAACAGGTCTTCAGCAACCCATGCTTGCCACAAAAAGGCGACTATGCTTGTCGAAAGACGCAACTGATGGGATCGGGTGGTCAGACTCGCTGACTTGGTTGACACATGTCATCGGTTTCAAATTGCGCAGATCGATGCTCATGATGGTGATCACTGGATTCTCTGGTCCAGACTCGATCATTTACAGACCGCCACCATATAGCTGGAATATTGCTGAGTGCGGAGAAAAACTAAACTAAACTCACTCACTCCTCTAGATCTCCTGGCCACAGGATAAAAACATAAACTGTAATACGTAAAACATGAGGAATGAATCTTTAAATATTTTATTATCATCAAGGGTGGACAAGTTATGAGAAGATAAGATAAAAACACTTTATGATACCGAAGGTACTTGACTGTACACGGTTGCATATTAACACACATACAATACAACAAAAGATACATGTACATAAGACCACAAAACACCCACACGTACAGTACAACCAGAAATTATTGAGAATTTAAAGATTGTAATTTTTTATATTTTTTTCACTCATTACTCACGTATTAAATGTGAATATTAGCAGAACAGAACTCCAGATTCAAAGACAGGTGAACAGTTAGTATTTTGTCAAGTCACCATGGGCAGCAATGCAGGCTTCAATGCGGCGGGGCATACTACTGATCAAAGAAGTTAGAAAGTCGTGGCCCATGCACAGACCCTCGTGTCTTTGCGAGGATTAAAGATTAAACAAGTATTGTTTTTGAGATGACCCCCGACACGAAATGCTTCACAGTATAATACATTCATAATGTATTATACTGTGAAGACATTCGGAAATCGAATCGAATCGAAATGCTTCACAGTATAATACATTCATAATGTATTATACTGTGAAGCATTTCGGGTCGGGGGTCATCTCAAAAACAATATTTTTTTAATCTTTAATCCTCGCAAAGACACGAGGGCCTGTGGGCCAATGCTGTCCCAATATCGGACCACCCCTTCTTTCATTTCAGCAATATTTGTCAGTTTTTCTTATTGACACTTTCCTTCATAAGTCCCAAAACATTTTCTATTGGACTTAGGTCAGGGCTATAGCTTGCCCAATCTAATAATGACATATTATGGGTCCGAAACCAGGCCTGTGAATGCTTTGAACGATGTTTTGGGTCGTTGTCCTGCTGGAAATTTTTTTTTTCCGTAGAACACGTGGACAGATGGAAATAAATGTCCCTCGAGAATATCTGCGTACCGCTCACTGTTCATATTCCCTTCAAATACACAGCGGGGCGTTGCCCCTAACACAGATATACCACCCCACACGTTAAATTTCGGCCTGTACTTTGGGCGCTGATTCAAAGGTTTTTCAGTTTGTTTGGTCCAGAATTTCAGTGTATTAGGAAACAGCCACACAGAACTTTCCTCTGAGAAAATCACATTGTCCCAGTTGAAATTTCTATGCTGTAAGCACCAGTTCAACATTCCCTCTTTTGGTTCAGGTTTCATGATCGGTGATGGAATTCCTCGACTTTTCTGCCAACCCATTGCATGCAGCTCAGTTCTAATTGCCTCCTTACAGACAGCCACAGTTCCTCTATCAATCATATCCAGCCTTAAGTTTTCTAAACTCCTTTGTGTATTTTTAGAAACAAGAATACCAAGCCGCCACCTGTCACCGTCACCTGCGCCTCCCTGGTGCTCAATGCCATATCCATTTGCAATAATTTTCAAAACACGATAAACAGTGGACAAAGGGATGCCTGTTCTACTTGAAATCACTTTAGCTGATCTGATGTCCTTGCTTTAAAAGGATTAACGGAGTTGTCTCCCTTGAATGAAACCACGCACTTGATAGCTGGTCAAGGTTGTTTATACTAGAAATCCAATTAAACATTCCTAAAATTCTCAATAATTTCTGGTCATACTATATGTTAAATGTTACTAGAATAGCTGGCCAACTTATTATGAGGTAAAGATAAATGATGAATAAATAAATATAGATTTAAGATTTAAAGCTATAGGGACAACATTAAAATTATGCGGAGGAACATTAGCACTAAAAGTATATTAAGATAACAGTTTGAAACAATTGATAAAATATTTTAAAATGCTTAACAAACATTAATGTATTTATAACACTGATTTGTACTACAAGGGGGTAAACGCAGTGGATGCAACAGTGAAACAAATGCACGTGCGGTACGTGATGAGCGTTAACTTAGACCAACCCTACTTGTTCTCGGTGTTTCATTTAATGTGCATGCCCCCTTGTAATACAAACCAATAATAGCGATTTGAAACTATGATCGTTTGTTGAACAACTTTTATCCTAAGTTGAATAAAATTCTGAGATTTGAATGTTAATTGGCAAGGTAAAATTATGAGGATTCGAAATCTTAATTGCACTTTATTCGATTTTTTTTTTTGTTTAGCGTGAACTTCATTGGTACGTTTTCACTTCAAATAGACTATAGCTGGAATATTGCTGAGTGCGGCGCAAAACTCACTCACTCAATCTACATTAAACAATAACCAATGTTCAAAACAAACAAAATTCCGTAATATATCCCAGAGAATACATTAAAAAGAAAACAATCTCCCAGTCCAGACTCTCAGAGTTTAAGCGTCATTCTGTCTGAAAATCAAGAAAAACATCTGTCACGTATACATAATCATCACTGGACTGACACGAAAAGTCACGTGGTCACAATCTGTTCCCTAGTGACCGTTCATAATTTATGGCTAGGGGCGGTGATGATGATTTTAGGGGTTGGTGGGTGGGTGGATGGGGTGTGGTTCATCCATTTTGTTCTTCGGAGATTTTGTACACATGTTCTAGGCGGGTCAGCAATTTTGAACATACAAATATTTTATAATTATGCTTTAAAAATATGGGGAGGGGGGTCATTGATTTTGTACATGACATTAGGGGGGGATCACTTTGTACATAAGTTTTTTTGGGGGGGTCATTCACATTGCACATGCTTCTCCTTAAAATCATCATCATCACCACACACAACACACACAGACACACACACACCCCAGCCACACGGTCCTCTAGTGAACACTCATTCAAATATGTCAATGTCGTGAGGTAGGCTTCAGCATGACTCGCGCCCTGTTTCATTGTTATAATTGATGTTTCACAGTCACAATGCAGTCAGGAACGACCCATACGCGAAGATAACATACTTGTGGAGTCATCCCACAGATGGAATCCCTAACTTGTCAGCTTGCTGACGGGGTTAACCACGTTGAATATGTGGACAAAGGGTCTGACTTTGGATTAGAAGGTCCGTGGTTCGAAGCCCAGCACGGTACTCGGAAATTTTATGGCCGCTACATTGGCGTCCAACGTGTGGCGCCAAATTGTACCCATGTTTTTGTGGTTCGGCTCTGGGCTGCTGCTCAAGACAACACAAGGCAATGGTGATGAGATGAATTTTATTCAAATGATGAATGAAGCTGTTGCTGAGGGTCAAGCCTGAGAAGGGAAAAGATGTTTCCAGTTCAGCATCAGCAAGTGGAGTCATAAAATTTAAATCCAGTAAATAATTTTAACAAATTTTAACAATAAATATTAAATAGTTTTAAATATCACAGTAAATATGTTATCAATTTAAATACCAGGATAAAGTTATTGCACTTTTGAAAAAAAATGTAAGCACATGGTTTCAGCCATGTTTATAATTTACATTATTTGTAAAACTAATATATTTAACTAAATTTATATAATTATCAATGAAATATTACTTTTAATGTTATACTATTATTATTGCAATAACATTTTGCACCTTTTCATAGGGATTTATAAAGTAAAGAGGCAGATGGAAACATATTAGCAGAATGGTCATACCTGAGAAAGGAAAAGATGTTTCCAGTGGAACAGCAAGTGGAAAACAGGTAGCCAAAGGAAGTAAGGTCAGAGGACACAATAGCTAATTAGGAATGATGTGACGTATAAATAGAAAAGGGAAAATCCCAAAGAATGGGTTATCTGGCTAAAAATAGAGAAGAAGTGAAGGGAAATCCTTGTTGACAAGGCTCCAGGAAACAGAAGGAAAGGTGAAGATGTATAGAGGCGGCATTCAACGGCAAGACTCGGACAACATCGAACAAATGAACATTTAACATATATTGATATTTATGAAACATGATGAAATCAATTGTAAATAGATTTAGTTTTCAGGCAATATTAATAAAAGCACTGCTACATACTGATAATATAGACAATGAAATGTTATGAAATGGACCAACACCAATTATCATTTTGTTGTCAAGATACAAATCAATAGTGGATTTATCATTTGTGGATTTATGTCTTCTGGCCGATGACAGTTATTCCCCTTTGTGTCACGTGAACACCTCTGTTCACTACATACATGCAGTCGATGGTTCAGCATTCTTCCAACTTGTCGGCCATTAGTTCCAGTTCATCTGCCAATTCAGATACATTATTTTCAACTTTGATGCGGTCTTCAACAAGTCCTTTAATGCTCAAACCGATTCCTATCGCTGTCCAAACACCACCGGCAACGCGGAGGGCTTTGGCACTCTTGCTGAGAGCCTTCAACCCAGAAACCCCACCTGCGAGTTTCGGATTTGCGCTCGCTCTGGCCACTGCACCTTCAACAGCATCGGTAACAACATGTCCACGGTCTAGGGACATTCCACACAGTGGACACTTTTGAGCTGCTCTTACGATGGTAATGGCTTCCTTGATCTTTTGAGGAAACGAATAAACCCCATATGCCAAGTTACCACTTGTTTTTAAAATCCGCCCAATTTCATATGTTGACATTCCGTGGCCTTTCAGTCGACTTGTTAGCTCTTCGACTAATGTGTTGAGTTTCCTATTCAGCCGGTCGAGTTCCGCTTGGGCGTCTTCTATTGCCTTGTTAACAACTCTGAACTCGATTGCTTGAGTTGCCAGGTCACCTGCCCCGGTAACTATTCCAATTCCTCCACTCAATGCTATAAGTGTGGTGGACAGACCTCCAGTGAAAGGAGCGAGAATGGCGCCTGCGAGAGACAATCCACCGGAAACAATACCAGTAGAGTGGAAGAGCACTTTAGCATTATTCATCTGTTTCTGTGTCGCTCGCAACGCCCGCGCAAGCGTCTGCAGTGTACGTGCAGTTCGTTTCTGTGCGTCGCGACAGTCCAAAGATGTCTGCTCCAGGCTGTCGTCTCCTAAGAATAGAACATAATATTGAAACACATATAAACTGAGTGCACTCCGTGAAGTTACCAACAACCTCATTGGACCCGCGCTAGGATTCGATCCCCAGAAATCTAGTTCGCGTAGACACATGGCATCAAAGTCAGAGATCCCTCTCTAATCTGGATGCCTCTAATCTGGACCTTCACAGGTCATGAGCGAGTGAGTGAGTTGGGTTTTACGCCGCTTTTAGCAATATTCCAGCAATGTCACGGCGGGGGACACCAGAAATGGGCTTCACACATTGTACCCATGTGGGGAATCGAACCCGGGCGAACGCTTTAACAACTAACCTACTCCACAGCCACTCACATGTCATGAAAGATCAGAACTACGTTTTAGATGAAATGAAGTGCATAAACACATTGGAAATTTTAATTTTATTTGGAAAGTAGGTTCTAATGTCTCCAACCCAGATAGACAGACAGGTAGATAATGAATGGGCTCTTATAACCTAGACGGTCCGGCCTTTGAACCGACTGGACAGCTAAAGTACTGTCGGAAATAGAAAAACAACTTTTTTTCCGCATTAATATCTACAACTTATGTAGTTAATATGTGTAAGTGTGAAATATATGTTAAACTAAGTTCGGCCTAACTACAGTCTCAGTGGTAGGGAGATAGGAAACGTATCCTTTACTGAGGAGAGATTAGTGCAGAAATGAGAACTAAGTCCAAAGCGACTTATGTGAAATAGACCATATTTTTATGCAAATTAGTGTGCAATGATATTATATTACAAAGGACAATTTTAAATGTCTAATTTGAAATTATACTTAACTTCATTATAAACGATAGCTGACGTAAAAAATAATATGTTTAATTCTGAAACTATGAAGGATGTAGCAACCATGGAGTCTCACTATCACTATAAATAGAAACAGGTAGGAGTGGTCGTCTCAAAAGCAAATCCAGGACGGGTATCGCAGACGGTGGTTGGGGTCGGGCTGGGAGATAGAGATATAAGCTGAGATAAGATAATCCTCAGGGGAATTAAACTGGGAAGCAAACGGCATGTCATAACAAATTACAAACAATATACAGTCCTGTCGATCTTCGGGTGGTCATGCTATTTTGAGACATTTAATACGATGGCTGATTTAAGCTTTTCCACGGGTATCATACCCGTTTACGCATCTCAACATAAACTTTATGATCCATATAGGAGACATATTCAAAAAATGAAAAAGCATAAAATATCTTTGAGGTATAACCCCTTGTGCTTGTAGGCAGGACGTGCATTTCATGCCAGGCGAGTCTACGGTCCGTCGTCATACCTGGCTGAGCAACCTTATTGCCATCTATAGTCCGATCTATTATTTTGAGCAGCTACTCGTATTTTTTCCCGATTTTAAGAGTAAACATGCTTTTCTGTATATACTATTATGCATACCACTGAATGCCCAGTTAGGCCGATGTGGGTTATTTCGATATGCTATTTGTAAATTTGTAAATTTTCGGGATACAGAATAACAGCCTAAAAACAGTGGTTTTTTTTCTATTTCCGGCAGTTCTTTTTTTTTTTTAGTACACAATCCAGAAAATGTGCGTCTCCCCGAAAACACTACTTCACTCCAAGTTTACTGCTCGTCAGTGTAAACAAGATGGGCTCGGCAAATTCCAAAGGAGATCAATTCCTCGAGAATTAATTATACTTGCGCTCGATGTATTGTGTGGGTGATAATGTCTGACGTCAGCAAAGCTCGCTGACAGTACTTTGTGCAATACGTTACGATATACTTCCTGTTGCAGAGAGAATGTCAATCTGACATCAATAACGTTAGATGAACAAAGTTTCATCTACTGTGATATTAAAACTGTTGTGAACCTTCAGTTGTACAATTTGTGCTCCAATTATTTTATCAGTATATAGATATACAGCGAATCCCCGTTATACGACACGGTGTCGTCGTCCCCCGTTATTCCACACTCTGTCGTTATAAATGAAACACACATTCCTCGCCATGTATAAAGGCCCATCTGGATTGCATGACAAGGATGTAATTAAGTAAAAGTGTTTGATTTGAAAACATGTGGGTGATTTTCCAAATCTAGCGGGAGAGATGTAGCGAATGTAAAAATCAGATCCTTATTGTCAGTATAGAATGCTCATACTATTCACCCAACATATTGCATAATAGAAGACAGCTTTGATGATAAAAGACATAAACATGTACGAGTACTTACTTGAATTTCCCATTGTGTCGCAGTGCAAGTTTCATTCGATATCAGAGCTGATATTATTACAGCGACACTGAATCTGCCTTAACCTGCCTCGCACTGAAAAGCGTCAGCAATTTGATGGGACATATGTATTTTTAGCCAATGAGCCCCCTTGTTCTTTCAAGTGTGGTTAAGGCCAAGGTCGTCAATGGCGAACGGGCACGACACAATTCTGTTTGCGATGAATATATGTATTTAAACTCATTATGACAGTGAGATGTAAGTGTCTCCGAAAGACGCCCTCAGTTCAACATGTTTTTGTGAATGTCGTATGTATAAACTGTGAAATAAACAAGAAAATGGATGAGTTACCGCTACAAATTCTGAGCAGGGATTTTGGCTTGGAATCGAGAAATGACGATTTTTCGAGCTTCCCCAGACCCTAGCTCCCAAAGTACTGCTTCGATTTTCGTGCTGTATGTCTCATTTTGTAGGTAAATCTAATGGCTTGAAATGTGTGCACACTTTAAATGTGATAAATACAGTGAGCATTGTTGAATTCGCCCTGAAACGAACTTGGTGTGTTGACTTCGTTACATCCCTTTCTTTTTATATAGTACTAAGACCCCGTCAGTGACAGTATATACCTTGACAGCATTTGTTTAGCGTTACAAGCCCCTGTGGGTTAGAGATTCAAATACACGAACGTCCGTTTTTTGGCATAACGGCTCTCACTGGTCCAACTGAGTGTTTTCTAACGATCTTGCGGGCTTGTTGTGATTGTACGTGCGCTTCCAACAGTTTTAGGAAATGTAATAAATCGCTATGAGTTTCAAAACAATAATATTATTTCTGTATGTAACTAATCAACTTTAATCTTTAACATTGGGCATATATTTCACATCTCTGGGAATATCTTAGTCTGCCGTTTTTTTAGTTATTCATATATTTTTCAACGAATTCATTTTAAATTCCACTTTGGTATGTCAGCAAGGTTACACCTATGTTCAGTTTGAGAAATATTTCAAAGTCATTATTGAGATGTATCAAGGGTGTTTTATTCTTTAAAATAAATAAGCAAAAACAAGAACACCAATGTAATGTATGAGTAATTTGGTGATATTTGGTACCATTGCAATCAAACAGAAATAGTGTTATCGTTCTTGTTAAAGTAGCTTTGATGTTCCTACGCCAATATGAAATCCTTCCAGAGGGGCACAAGTCGCTATTCGGCTTGTCCTGGAATAACACGTTGGTCACAAATGACCCCATTCGTCACCACTCGCCCCTTTCCACAACCTCCATTAAGACCCCATTCGTCACCACTCGCCCCTTTCCGTTGCCTCCAAGGAGACCCCGTGCCCCTATCGATGGATGTTATGCGCAAAAATACCAATACCAATCCGAAAGCAGGCAAGCACTGAGATGTTTAATAAAATTAATCACGAGAACTTGAATCTGTTAAGGCATTAAGTGATTGTTTAAAAATCGTGAAAAATATATCTTAATTTTTGTAAATCCTCAGAATTGTGTTTCCATAATAGAAAATTTCGAATAAAGACAGGACCATGAATGATGACAAATCCAGATGCACACACGTGTGTTTGTTTACATAACGACCCTCATGTTTCCAATTGAGCGTTTTCCCTGACGATCTTGCGGGCTTGCTTTGGAGATTGTATGTGCGTTTTTCGACATTTTTAGGTAATGAAAAGATAGCTACCAGTTTCAAAATAATATATTTATCGGGATTCTTGAGAGGCATTTAGAAGTTGGTGAATAAAGAAGACAAGTATATGGATGGCAGCTTCATATTCATTATATAACACAACTTTTCTGGGCCACTTCTTGCCCCTTTTTCTTAAATATATTTATCATAACTAATAAATTTTAAACTTAAACGATGTACTTACCTTTCACTTTACTGGGCTGATTTACTCTGACGTTTCCGAGGCCCTTCATGCTGTTTTTAGCATATTCATTTTAAATTCCTCCAGGGGTATAGTGGCATGGTTACATGCAAGTTCAGACTACTGGTCCGCGTCCATCAAAGCACGGTAGGACTCTCCACGATTTCTTCAGTTTGAGATATATTTTAAAGTATGTGGCACCCATGAAGGGCCACCTCCTCGTGGTGGGTGCTGGGTAACGCTAAGCGCCCTTCAACCCCCCGTTGTGGACCCGGGGGGATATTTGGTCCACCAACCCGTTTGCCGTGGGTTGCGCCCCTGTGTCGGTGGAGGACGGGAGGCTGGTGGTTGAGGGCACTGGTTCCAGGAACAGTGTTCCTCTGCCCAACACACCACTTCGCCCCTTACTTCACCTAGACGGGTGGTAGAACTGGCCCGGTTCTATCAATCGGCTGGTCATGATAAGCCCTGTACATGTAAAATTTGCTGCACAAATTTTAGAAATTATTTCAAATTTTTGTCAGTGGTCTTGGCTTCAAGATGATATATTTATATTTTGATTGTACTACTGCGATTTAGTAATTTGCCTAGAGTCCTATGTCCAGAAGGCAGTGGCTCATGGGCCAATCTGGTGGAATAATTGCTTGTTGATTGTTCTGCTTGAGTATATCATCCGGGTATCCTTGGTGCTGCAAGTCGGAAACCCACTTGTGATTAGCATTGTCCTTGTGATACTCCGTGGTGGGTGGGGAGCCCGGATGATGAATCAAATTAAACTTACCATGGATTACCAAACCCCCACAAAAAAAACAAAACGTCCACTCGATAATGATGATGAGCAGAGACCATCCAAATCAACAGAAAATTGGCCACGTTTCCTGGTTCTCGACACTGTAGACGAGACACCACTAAAGCTGAATCCTTTTGTGATTTCTAAGGGTATATATGGCATCGCAGGTGAAGTAAAGAACATAAAACGCTTGCGTTCAGGATCATTATTGATTGAATGCCTTCGGAAACAACAAGCTGCCAACCTGATGATAACGGAAACATTTGCTGGAATCCACGTTTCAGTTACTGCGCACAGAACACTGAACACCAGTAAAGGAGTTATAAGAGACAGAGATCGTTTGTTAGCCGACATGTAAGAACTGGACATCGTATCCGAAATGAAAGATCAGGGAGTGACATATGTCAAGCGATTTACCACCCGCAAAAACAATGACGTAATTCCGACGAACACATACCTCTTTTCATTCTCTTCACCAAATCCTCCAAAGTCTGTAAAGGTTGGTTACTGTAGCATCACAGTTGATATTTACATCCCAAACCCCTTGCGATGTTTCAGGTGCCAAAAGTATGGCCACGGTGTCAACACTTGCACAAAGCCTATAACATGTGCTCACTGTAGCGAAACTTCACACGTAACTGAAGATTGTGATAGTGCCTTCAAAAAATGCACAAATTGTTCAGGTAATCATTCCTCCTTTTCTAAAGACTGTCCCATATGGAAAAAACAAATGGAAATAAACAAGGTTAAATTCACTCAAAACATTAGCTTCGCTGATGCTAAAAAGCTTGTTGATTCAACAGTTCCAAATGAATCATATGCATCAATCGTCAGGACACCCTCCGAAAGCTTGTCAAAAGTAACTTCGCCAGTATCCAGTATTTCAATAGACCGTCAAACAGACTTGACTTGGGTTACAAACGATACCCCTCACCTTCTTACACCTGAACAATCTAGTCAGACTTCAGAGTTGGTACAAACCATAGTTCAGGATACAGTACCATTATTGTCCACTCAGAAGACTGGATCCGACACAACTTCAAAGAATGTGGTCAAAATACAGTTAAACCTAGGACGGAAAGTGTGCAAAAAGCGGTAGACCCTCTAAGGGTTCAGAAAACCGTATACAATTATATAACAAATATGGTTCTCTAGAGGACATGGATGTGTCAGAAAGCATCCATCCAAGGGCACGTAGCTCGTCGCCCTCGAAGAAAGTGAGGGTAGGTCCCCTATCAATCCACCTAAAAGATAGGTCATTTTACTAATATCGTGCAGTGGAATTGTAGAGGTCTGAGGACTAATTTTAATGAACTACAGCTATTAGTCCAGGATTTAACGCCATCAGCATTCTGTCTACAAGAAACGCATCTGAAACAGACGGATAATTTTACTTTACGCCAGTTTACAGCCTATCATCATTATTCTCCTCTGGGTGATAGGGCCACTGGAGGATCTTCTATCCTTATACGGCAGGATGTTATTCACAGCCCTGTTACACTTAAAACTAATCTCCAAGCTGTTGCAGTGCGACTTACTCTGGGTGTAGCATTTACATTATGCTCTGTATATATTCCGCCTTCATGGGCACTTCAGCAGACTGATCTACAGTCACTCTATGATCAACTCCCGAAGCCCTGTGTTATTATGGGTGACCTAAATGGTCACAACCCGCTCTGGGGTAGTAATAACACCAACACTAAAGGTAAAATACTGGAAGATTTTATCTCCAATAATGACCTATGTATATACAATGATGATTCAAGCACTTACCTGCATCCTGCAACCGGAACCTATTCTTCTCTAGATCTGTCTCTTGCAGACTCTGACCTCCTAAATGAATTTGGTTGGTCTGTCCATAGTGACCTCTGTGGAAGTGACCACTTCCCAACTATTCTTTCAGAAATAACTCCATCTGATTCTCCATCATATACACGATGGAATTTTTTGAAGGCTGACTGGCCTATATTTCAAACTATATGTAAATCGAAATTACGACCTGAATGCTTCAGTGCCGTACCTGATCCCATTCAGATTTTTGCTGACGTTTTAAATGAAATAGCTGATAAGTATATACCGAAATCCTCTACAACTCCATACGTACGGAAACCATGGTTTAATACAGACTGTAGACAAGCCAGAAAAGCGAGGGAAAAGGCAGAGCGTTATTTCCGCCATCATCCAACTGTCCATAATTTAAATAAATTCAAAATACTCAATGCAAAGGCGCGTCGTACCTTTAAACAAAACAAACGACAATCTTGGAGAAATTATGTCTCCAAAATTAATTCGCGCACGCCAATGTCTAAGGTTTGGAACATGGTTCAGCGAATAAAAGGCAAAGGTTCAAAATCAGCTGTACACCATCTTAAAGATGGTGATAACTTGATAACTGATAAATCTGACATTGCAAATAAAATTGGCGAAACCCTTGCCAAAAATT